GCCGACAGTGCTCGCGCAGCGCCTCCGGCTCCAGCGCCCCCAGCTCGGCCAGGAGGGCGGCGCGCGGCCCCGGCGCCAACTCGGCGCAGAAGCGCAGCAGGTGTTCCTGGCCAGCGCGCTGCAGCCGGGCGCGCACATCCCGCTCCGAAGCCATGTCGCCGCTGTCGGCCGCGCGAGTACTCGTGACTCGCGCGCTCCTACGGGCGTCACGGGACCCAGCGGGCGGTGACGACCCCAGAGAGGCGGGACCAGGGCGCCCCGCCTCCGAGTGCCCCGCCCCTCTCCGGGCCTGACCCCGCCCCTGTCCGCTCGGCCGCGGCCCGCGCGCTCTGGGGTCTCGCCGGCCGCAGGACACGGAGGGGCCGAGTCAGGGCGCTGGGACGCCTGAGGCATAGGGGCCCGGGGCGCCCCGAGTCGGGAAGCCCCCTCACGGGATCTGCGACGCCCCTGGCCCGGGCGCGTGAGGGCTGACTTCAGCTCTAATGCACCCCTTTCTGGACCCACAGCCCTGACGGTCAGGACACCTGAGGGGGAGGCTAGGGTCTGTCCCTGCACGTGGCCATTGGCACTGACCAAGACTCCTGGCGGCTGGGCTGGGGAGGATAGAGCCAGATCAACAGTAAGCCCCGGCGTCTGGATGCCAGCAAGGACTCCCAAGAAGGCCACTCTGCATCCTTGGGGGCTCCCTCCTTCACATCCTTCCTCCTCATTGCCATGTAACCAGAACCGCTCAGGAGCAGCCCTTGGCCCTGCCATGTTATATTAACTATCCGAGTTTAATATATCTTGCTGTTTATTAAAAAATATATAGATCGATAGATATAGATATCCTGCTGTTTATAAACTCCCTTAGTGAAAAATAGTGAGTAGCTTTGGCCATTTTGGGACAAAGCTTTCTTCTAGAAATTAGTTTTATTAAGTCTAAAAGTAATACATGCTCAAGGGTAAAACAAATTCAAACGGCACTTTGGGACCTGAAAGGAAAAGTAACATCTCTCTCAGGCCTGCCCCAGCTAACCCCTGTTAGGGCAATTGTGTGTCTTTGCAGGCAGGTTCTGCACAGAGACTCCCACATACCCCCTTCCTGGGTTAGGAAGCAGAGCTTCCCACCGCCCCCCTGGGGGCCCACTCTAAGTCCTGGTGGACCTGAAAGAAGTTATCTTCCAAGGGTAGCCTTAGGCCTGCCACAGGGCCTTTACACTTGCTGTTCCTCTGGCCTGGACTACTCCCAGGTCATGTTGGCTCAGAGAGCACCCTCACATTCGTCTCTGTTCCTTCCTGCCTTTCTGCATTCTCTGTTGCCCGGGTTCCGCAAGGAAAGGAAACTCCAGGAGAGCTGGAGGTAGTTTGGTTCACTGCTCTGCCCCATCACCTTAGATCATTGCCCAGCACACGGTAGGTACTCAGTACATGTTTGTTGAATGAATGAATGAGTGTTGGATCCCACACCTAGCTCAGTGACTGGGCCACATCAAGTGTTCAGGGAGTGCTTGCTGAATGAGTGAATGAATCTATGAATGGCCTGCTTCACTAGTTTGTGATAGTTGAAGGGCACATGTTAGAGATGGAGGGTGAGCATGGGAGGGAGGGAGGGAGCCCAGAAGCAGAGTGGGCTCCGCACCCCAGGCCAGAGTCCATGGGAACTCTCACCCCCCGCACATGTGCCCTTGAAGACAGGTGTCCCATGAACTCAGAGTTCATCTCAGAGAGACCCCCAAATCTCGCTTCAAGATGGGGGGAGGGGCTGAGATCAGAAGGGTTTGGACAGTTGAGGCTGGGTAGCCAGAGGCACCTGAAGGGCAAGAGTAGGGGAGCTGGCCCACCTGGGCAGACAGGTGGGGGTGTCAGCGAGGGAGAAGTGAGCAACAAGCTCCTGGACAACCGGCAAAGGCAGGCTTGTGACCCAGGAATCACCTTTCTTGTGCCCTAGGGCTTCATCCAAAGGGTTCAGGGGAGCCAGGGTCCAGAGGCCAGCATGGGTCCCCGGCTGTTACTACGGGATGGAGGCCAGAGAACCTGTGCAGACGCAGGGACTGTGTGAGGCTGGGGACAGAGGGCCCCACCATCCACCTCCAGGAAGCTCCAAGCTGGCACAGTGAGAACATAATTACAGCTGGGGCCGGCACCTCAAAACCACAGGGCCCCACTTGGTCTGGGGCTCTGGGAAGCCCCTGGGGGTGACAGCAACACTGAAAGATACAGAGCTAGGAAAGTGTTGGGCCAGGCTGGAAAGTGGGGTAGAAGGAGGAAGTGGTCAGAATTCAGGACGGGAAGTACAGGGGACCACGCCCTAGTCCCACACCCGGAGCTGGTACCGACTCCAGTGTCTCCATGCCTTCCACCAGTGCCTAGCCGGGGAAGCCCACCAGGAAGCCCACAGACCGAGGGCCTCCTCCCCCACAGTTCCTGATGCTCTGAGAAGGCCTTGTTCTCTCTGTGCGGTGGGCTCAGGTTCACAGGGGCCTGGCCTGGGTGCTGCTGGCCATGCTGTCCTGCTGTCCTGAGCTGTTGCTGGCCACTGGCACGAACCCCCATGGAGCTGTCTGCAGGCTTCCCCATCCCACCCGAGGGTGGCGTTTCCACAGGATGGGGCTTCCCATGTGTGGGCCACCCACTAAGCCTCCACTGTGGACCAGACTCATGCTAGGCCATGGGGCGGCCCTGTCCTGCTTCCAGAAAGCACAGGGAGGGACTCATGGGGACAGAAGCACCATCACTAGAAGGCAGCCTCATGCTTTGAAGATCAGGACTATAACTTCCAAGCTGTGGGTCAGGTACCTGAGTGGAGTTTCAAAGGATGCAGAGGGATCAGCCTGGAGCAGACAGGCAAAGGTGTTCCTGGTGGGAGAGCTACCATGTGCAAGGGCCCAAGGTGAGGGACTGCTGGGTACCCTAAGGATGAGGGACCAGGCAGGGTGTGCTGGAAGGGGAGTAGGAAGGGGAGATGAACTGCAGGACAAACAGCTTGAATGCTGGGACTTTGGCTGGTTCTGCCACTAAAGGGGAAGGCAGGGATGGATCAGGCTCCATGGGGTAACGCCAGGCTCACAGCTTTCTAGGTCTTTCCAAAATTCCTTACCACAACGGAGCCCCAACTTTGAGGGCTATGAAATTAATAAAGGGAAGCCTCATTTAGAATGGAGTCAGGAAGCCCTGACCGGGGGAACTCTCCTGAACATAGCACCTGTCCCAGCTGACCTCACATTCCTGGGCAGGAAGAAATTCATTTTACTACCCTAACAGGAGAAAGTTCTCTTCTTGAGGAGACAGCAGGCTAAGCTCCAGCCCCCTCCCAGACTGGCCAGACAGAAGGACGGGATCCTGGCTGGAAATGAAGCAGGGGCCGCTGGGGACACAGGGCTGCCGGCTGGCCTGCAGAGGCTGTGAGAGTCAGGGAGCAGCTGCAGGAAGTGTCCAGCCAGAGGAAGAGGCTGGGGCAGAGGACTTTGGAAGCAGAGGAGAGCGGGTCACCAGATGGAGATCTGGGGACACAGGAAAAAGTGGCTTTGTCCTGCAGTAGGCAGGAAAGGCCAGGCCGTCCCCAGGGACAAGGGGAGGAGCCAGCAGCACTGTGGACAGAGAGGCCTCTGTGACGGGAAGCGCCCAGCTGGCTGGAGCCCACGATCCTCTTGGGACTTTCCCGGTAAATGGGCCCCAGAGTCGGGGTGCCTGGGCCAGGGGACCCCGAGTAGGGGGCGAAGAGTCCCCAGGGGAGCCAGGCGGAGAAGGTAAATCCCTGGAGCAGGTGTGCTCCCCATCCTTACCCCCACGAGGCCACCGGGGACAGGTTTTCCGTAGGGCCCCAGGCCCCGCCCCTCGGAGAGGGCCGAACCGCCGCGAGAGGGCTGCCGGTGGCGGGGGGAGCAGAAAGGGGTCCGCTCGGGCCTCTCTCCCCCACCCGCGAGGCCGAGGGGGGCCGAGTTGCGGGACCCCGCCCCCCCTCCCCGGCGGTCCCGGGCCGCTGCGCATCCCCGGCCGCAGCCGGCACGGCGGCGGGAGCGCGCGGGGCGGGGCCCTCGGCGGAAAATCAAACCGGGCTGGCGGCCTCTCAGCCAATCCGGGAGCAGACGGGCCGGCTTCGGCCAATGGCCGCCGCGAATGCTAATGAGCGCTGACGCCACGAGGAGGGTCCATTCAAAAAGTCGCAGCTATTGTCGCGGCGCGTTGCGCGCGCCGGCCGGGCCCCGCCGTCGGGCCGCGCGGGGACGGAGCCGAGGACGGAGCCGGGGAC